ATCCATCCATCCATCCATCCATCCATCCATCCATCCATCCATCCATCCATCCATCCATCCATCCATCCATCCATCTTCTTCCGCTTCAGTAGGGAGGCCCAGACATCCCTCTCCCCAGCCACTAGAGCCAGCTCCTCCAGGAGAATCCAAAGTCGCTTCCAGGCCAGCCCAGAGACATAGTCCCCCAGCGTGTCTCGGGTCTCCCTCTAGGTCTCCTCCCACTGGGACGTCCCCAGAACACCTCACCAGGGAGGCATCCTAACCAGATGCCCGAGCCACCTCATCTGACTCCTCTCGACGTGGAGGAGCAGCGGCTCTACTCTGAGTCTTTCCAGGAGCCAGTCTACCAAAATTATTACAAAAATGCATTAAATTCATCCAGTTCAGAAAGGAAACCAGAATATCACTACAGGCTTCACTTGCTTCAATAAACATCTGTTCTCTCTATGTTAAAATACTAAAGAGACAGAACAAAATCAATTTCAAAACCATAACTCACTATAGAGAAAAAAACAACTTAGCATAGTTGACGGGACCATGGATATGTTGTCTTTGAGGCAATCCTGAAGGGGAGGGCACTAAATTCAAGAGCATTAGGGTTATGCAGAAGAACAGTAATCAGAACAAAACAAAGGTTATTGAGTGGCCTAGTCAAAGTCCAAACAAGAATATGATTTAGAGGCTGAAATTAGACTTTAAACAGACTGTTCATGCCTAAAAACACCCAATAAGTATCACCTAAAAGGTTGTGAAAGAATTCCTCTACAGCCATATAAAGGATTCCCAAATAGTTCATGGCAGTCAGATCATCTCATGAGTCAAATAGCAAAAGGCACGTATCCAGTTATTAGGTAAGCAGTGGTTACATTTTTATATTGGACCTCGTTGGTTGGTAAAAAATGTTTTTCAATGAAAGTGAAAATACTGTTTAATAAGGCATTTTCTGTTCGATAAGGTTATTTTAATCTGATTATTAAACTTTGTTGATTTTAAACATCCTATGTTGCAGGCGTGCTTTGGTGGCGCAGTGGTTAGCGCACACAATCCATGTATGGAGGCCTTAGTCCTCGACTCGTTCGATTCTGACCTGGGGTTCTTTGCCGCATGTCTCTCCCGTCAGTTTCCTGTCCAAACAACGAGCCACTAGTGCTGTAAAAAATAAAATAACATCCTGTGTTACAAGGGGGCAAGAAGTAGATCATTCCAAAGTATTTTATTCATTTTTAATTAATTCGTTCCACACAAACTTATATATTCCAGGTATTATTTCTTTCTTAATTATCATCAATTTAAACTGGGTCAAGCTGAGCTGTTTGTGGAAAAAATGGAGTAATATATGAAACCATTAAAATGATTTTCAAAACAGAAAATATGGCGTGTTCAATCACAAAGAAGATGGCTGACTTTACAGTAGCCTAGCAGATCATCATCAAGGGTGAAGCAGAAATCAACTTCTTTCATTGGTACAGAAATCAGTCTGGGAAAGGCTCCAAGTGAGGGTAGGAAAAATTGCAGCTCCACAAGCAGTAGCGTAAGGACACAACAATAAGCAATATTATCTGTGTGGGCCCCATATGAAGTACAACACCCCATCCCATGTACCTTACCGGCTTCTTTTGTCTGTATGACCGCCATTGTGGAAAACGACTCATAAAGTTGGACCAGCTAGAAGAGCGAGGTGCGTGACAACGCTGGGACCCTTTTCCTACCTGGATCACTGCTCTTTTTTGCCCTCATGTCCCTCTGTTGTCGCACAAAATTGCCCCCTCTTCCTCACCAACTCGGCTATCTCTAGACCCACAGCTAGTTCCTGATTGTCCCTCTTGCGTTGTGGCATGGAATAACATAGTGCAGACCAAGCTTCAATATTGGGCATAAATCAAAAATACCTGCGTCATATCTGCGACAAGCTCACTGCAACACACTGTTGAGAGAGTATAACCAGCCCTTTAAAAGGAGGGGGTCGCAAATAGCATTTAAGAGTTTAGGGATTTAGACTGCAGTTAGTGGAGACAACCACCAAACGCATGTACAGTACTAGCAACATGGCTGATAACTGTTACCACAGAGCCAGAGACTATTTTAGAAATGTTTCACCAACAGGCTGGGCTGATCATCTGCAGCAATGCAGTAATCAATGCACAAGGAGACCTGACCAAGTGTTGAGTGCACTATACCGGATCGTATAAAGGCACAATGCACAGTATTATGAATTTAAAAGAAAACAAAACGTATTTAATTCTATTACAAGTCTTATGTAATGGGAGCTTGTCTGCCTGGCTGTGTGTTTCCTGGACGGGGCCGCGTTTTACAACTGCTTTTTGTATCTCTGCTTCTGTCTCCTTGAACCCCAGTCGGCCTCGGCAGATGGCCGCTCAAACCGACCCTGGTTCTGTTGGAGGTTTCTTCCTGTTAAAAGGGAGTTTTTCCTCTCCACTGTCGCTACAAGCATGCTTTGTGTGAGGGATTACTGAAGAGTCAATGAGTCGATGCAATCAACTGTTTTTACTTATATAGAAAACTTTGAATTAATCTGACTGGATGATCTGTAAGGTGCCTTGACATGGCGTGTGTTGAGAATTGGCGCTACAAATTAACATTCATTTTTGAAAAAACTGCTCTAAATTATACTGATCTAGGTTTAAATGAATACATCATTTAAACCTGTCCATGTGATCTCATTAATCTTTACATCTGAACTGAAGCAGTTAAAGAAATTAGGTTTTTGATGCTGTTTTATTGTATAGGGATCCATATGTTAGTACCAGGTAAATTACATTATAAATTGCTTTTATTTGTCTTTCCTTTTTTTGTACAAAATATAGAATTTTAGAGGTGCATTTTAGACCTGACAACATCTGTGTTTGTTTCCTTAATTTGGTATAACTTGTCAGACTGGCGTCATGCTCCTTCACAGAACAAAAGAATAACAATTTTCTCTTTTTTTTATGTTTATTGTTGTATTGTGCGGATGTCTCTCCTCACCGCCCACCTCTCTCGCTCATCGTTTCGTTCACATCTCTGTTTTGTCATCCCTTCATTTCAGATGCAGTTCATGCTTCTGTTCAGTCGTCAAGGCAAGCTCCGGCTGCAGAAATGGTACGTGCCTCTGTCTGACAAAGAGAAAAAGAAGATCACCAGAGAGCTGGTGCAGACCGTCCTGGCTCGGAAGCCTAAAATGTGCAGCTTTTTGGAATGGAGAGACCTAAAGATTGTGTATAAGAGGTGGGTGGTGATTTGGACTTGGTTTGTAACCCTTTGAAACCCTTGAAAAATGAAAGTTAATCGATGTATCAGTTTGATTTGTGGTTCAGTTAGGGAATCAGGAAAGACTGTTGGCAAAGAGATAAAACAAAGTGAGAAGACTACAAGAGGAGGTGCTTGCATTTTTCCCTTATTATATCCTGTTGCTGTGCCAACACACCAGCGGGCAGATTATTGGTGGAGCTGAAGGTTTTCTGATGACCAGAGGTTGCAGATAAAGAATGAAAAAGCTGTTTTGTTATTTAAAGTTTTTATTTGTTGTAGTGTAATTTTTTTAATGCATACATTACATTTGACCACAATAAAGTAAAATCGTTTAGTAAAACCATTTATTATAAACTGAATCATTCATTCTCCTATAAATGCCTGGGGCTGACTATGAGAATCCTTAAAAAAGTATGATATAGAGCAGAGGTCACTGATTAGTGGACCGTCGTCTGGATTCGGACCCACCTGCTGGCTAATCTGGACCCAACCTGATTTAAAACATTTATAAATGACTGCATGTTGTCCGACGACAGTGTCTAAATTCACTTTCGCCGCTTCACCTGTTAACATGGTAAAGCCCACTGGAGCATTCCGGGACAAGGCTGTACGTAGGCCTGTCACGATAACAATTTTTGCTAAAAGATTAATTGTCTCAAAAATTATTGCGATAAATGATAATATTGTTTTAAGACCTTTTTACTCTGATTTAATGGAAATTACATAATAATGCATGCATTTTCCGGCCAAAGATAAACGCACTTTATTTTTAACAGAACACTTAACACTGGAACTGGTTAACAAAATAAAACGAGAAATAAAAATTAAATGGACTCTCAGTCTCTGTCAACTAAAAATACACTTGAATAAAAACCAAGAAAAAAACCACAGTGGAAATAAAAACGTATGTTCAATATATCACATTTGTGATATGTTTGTTTTCTGGGGAATTCATACCGTCTATCAAATGTCTGCAACATTTTACGAAATGCCGGCTTTACAACAATATTAAATGGAAGCATCTCTTTGGCAATTAAAGGCACACTA